CTACCTGCAGGATTTGGTCTTTGTTCCTCCTGTTAATATGTACCCATGTCCCAGCTGCCTCATCTTCAGCCTCCTGGTGATCGTCTTTCCTTTCTAGTAATTCCATTATCTACTTTCTTGTGAGGTTGCTGTTTTTCATCAGTATTCTTAGTGCATTCCGTTCTGCCCTCCTCATTGTTTGTCTTGCTCATGATCATCTTTTCGTAGTTTATTCGTAGGCCTGCCATCTCCCGGTATACCTCGCTGGTTTGGACGAGATCTTCTTTCTTGTCCGCGATTACGAGTAGGTAGATCGTCCGCGAACGCCAATAGTGTCGGTAGTTGTAACTGGCCATCCAGTTTCTCACCAACATCCTTGTTTGCTCTATGGCGTTGTCCAGTTCTGTCGCGAAGAGCCTTGGGGAGAGCGGATATCTATGGTTTTCAAATGGTGCTCGGTTTTCTTCCCAAACTAGTATACTCCTTATACGCATGCGTTTGTAATTCTATTGGTTAGGAATTTGGGCAGTCCCAGTAATGTCAGAGAGGTGACTATTGCTTCATGCTTCACTTGGTCGAAGGCCTTCGCCAGGTCCATTGCTAGAAGCCATATTTTGTTCCTGCCCTCCAGTGTTCATCTAGAATCTTCCTGGTCGTGAATATATATGACCCTCTAGGCATTGCAGTCAGTAGGTTGTGTACTCGTATATATCTTGCATCGCGAGATTCTCTTGTAATCGTCTGTTGCTCGTGGTGACCTGACTTTTGGGATGGGCACCTGCACTGTCTGCTGCCATTCCTTGGGGACCAAGTTGCTGGTCCATACTTCCTGAATTAATTCGTGTAGGCCTTTGAATAGCCATTCTGATGCGTATTGTAGTAATTCGGCCTGGACCCTATACTGCCCTGCCACCCTGACATTTTCCCCTTTTTCAGGCTTCCAACGTGGGGGTGGCAGTAGTGGCCAGTAATCGTTCTCCTCCAATAACTGTACCTGTGCTTCTTGTTCTTCTTTCAGGAACTTCTCCTATGCTGTCATTGGTACATATTTTTTGGTTCCTCCTTGTTTCCTCCTTCTGTTTTTTATGTGCTTTTTGCGCATTCTTCTCCATTAGGCTAAGCTTGGCGATGTTCTCTGCAAACTCCTCGAATTCCTTGGGCTCATGTTGTTCAAAGGCTCTATTTTTCTCCTCCCTGGCCTCCCTTAGCTTCTTCTTTGCTTCAGGTTTGTGTGGGTTTTACCCAAACCTCGTCAGTGCTCTTCTGTGGTTGTCCATGGCTTACTTCCTGTTCAGGGACATGGGCGGTTTATGCCTCCCTAGTGTTTAGGTATTTATTATCTATTATCTATTATCCCTCTCTTAGTTCTGGGCCCTCAACAGGCATGCGCCCAATTACTCCGGTATTTACCTTACGAATTAGGAAAACTGCAGGAAAACCTAATTCGGAGTAGCCGGTAGAATGCTCGGAACTGGTCTAAGGTAATTTACATCTCCGCCACAGATGAAAAATTCACCTCAACCCAGGTTCGAACACCCGACCTCCGGATTTATAACCCAACGCTCTTACCACTGAGCCATAAAGCTTTTATGGCTCGCTTTTATGCAAGATCGTCGTCAGAGAAAATATACCGGAGATGGGGTACGTATTGGATCGGTGCATTTATTTTTAACAGAGGATTTGGCCATGAGGGGAAGGTTCGCCAGATTCGTATCGAAGCTGCTAACAATGGAACAGAAAGCGCAGTAGGTCCGCAGCAATGTCAAGGTCATGTTGACCGTTTTCTTTGATTGGCGTGGTGTGTGCATCATAAGTATGCACCACAACACCAAATCATCTCAAAGAAGTACTAGCTGGAGGTCTTGTGTCTTGTGATTCTATGCGATGCAAACGACCAGATCTGTTGGGGGCAAAATCTTGGCAACTCCATCCACCCGCCCTTTTTACGGATTTAATTCAGGCTTTCTTAGCCAAACCTAAAATTCCCGTGGTTCGTGAGCCTCACCCGACATGTCTTCGTTTCACTTTGTGGCTATTTCCCAACCTGAACTGATTTGAGTAAGCTCATGAGGAATGCGACGGTCCAGCCGACCACCATTCCATAAACTGCGTTCCAGGTGTGTTTACAAAAATGACGGAAGCGCTGGGAGAAGTGTGTGCGTCACCAAGTAGTAAGGAGTAAGGAGTAGGTGGATGGCACGAATGAACTTCTACGTCGTGTAATCGGTTCTTTTAAGTGTTGGAATGTGACCCTTAATCGAGAAGGGAATTGAATAAAATACATAATTTTGTGCGTACGAAAATACGAGAATATATAAAGCAAGGCGATAGCAGGAAAACCTTCTTCTGGACAAAAACCCCAGCATAGCCAACATAAATACATGAAATAAATCGACTACGACAACAAAATGCAAAAGATATAATGATTGGTAGAGTTGGCGCTACGTTTCCTCAAACCCGCCGCATAAACAGCCAACTAGCTCAGGGTTAAATGAGAAAATAAGAAAAGTTACGTTACACACAAAATCTTAGTAACTTCAATGTACAATTGAAATTCCCCAGTTTACAAAACCCCCAATCTAGAATGATCGATTAAGTTGATTACTGAATCTTAAAATAACTTTCCACTAAATTGATATTACGAACAAAAGTCGCACGTGTAGGGCCCAGCACAAGTGAAACATATAAAGGTAACTGTAAAAGTAAAGTGTAAAGCCAAGAAGTGAGCTCAGTTCTCGCATTCAAACTTGCAAATAATCAAAAGAAAACCTCCCAAGTCGCAGGTCTCGGTATATAATGAATTGACTAATGCCTGAAGGGTCTCGCTCTACTCGCAATATTATGCTTCTATAACAGGTAGGGTACTTAATCGGCGAACCTCTCCAGAAAGAAGTGGTGGACTCCAACAACATTCACGTTTCAAACTCGATCATAACTTAACCGAGACGGCAAAGATATTAAATTGGTACTAATGTTAACAAATTACTTGAATGTGATAGAATTTAACCCAGAAGGGGTAAAATTGTTATTAACTAATACGCTAAAGAGTTACGGAAGTTGTCTCTTTGTTGAAGATCGAATCCCGATATCAAATCTCGTTCATGACCATCTTAATTTGTTATTCAATGTTCATGACCCAATAGCCCAATTCCAAAAAATGACCGCTCATTATCAGCAGGGCGTTGGCACTCGCAGGCAACGGTTAATTTATACCCAAGATTACAACAGAATTGTAAGCATCTCCGAAACTTAAGCTGGCCCTTAGAGTTGAATTAAATTTGAATTTGACCTAACGTTAAAACTAAAAATTGCAACCCTAAAAGAAATTGAAGGTAAACCCTCTTCGTTGATGTCATAAAATGTACATACCTTTTAAATAAGATAGCTAATTATAAAGGAAGCAACATTTGTCGATGGAAAATTGTCGTATAACAGTTGACAGCCGACCATAAAGTAAAGGAAATGCAAATGGTGGTACTTACAATAAGGAAAAAAACGCAGTTATATCCTCTCTTTGGAGTTCAAGGAGAATCCGTTCACTAATTATTCCAGAATTAATAAAATATGGATGATGGCAATTAAAATTCTATGCGTTCTAAGTAACGCCTCAGTTGCTTGTCCAAACAAGTGCACTTTGTTACGGCTCGCAAAATAAAGAGGAAAATGAAAGAGGAGAATCGATATCCACTGGGGGGTAAAAATTGCGGGGTTAAAATTCCAACAATAATAATATAAAGTTACGAGGATCTTGCAAGTAAATATACCGTGAACATGAACACTAATAATGCTTGTAATGGAGAAAATAAACCGTTACAAAGAGAGTATACACAAATAAGACGTCTCAAATTGTACGATAAAAATCAGGTAATCGAATCAATGCAGGTAAAGAAATTGAATAAAACCAACACAAGAGACATCGTAAGTGGAAAACATGATAAATCAATTTAGTACAAAAAACACATGTAGCAGGATTGGTTGTATACAGGGCGTATCGTGTTATTGTTTCAGATGTAAAGGTGTGTTGCCTAACCGTAAGGGTTGTTTACCACATGATCAATACTTTTTGATCATACTTAGTATGCTGATCGTGTCTTCCCACAATGTCCCCAATTCATTGTAACACTCACTTATGTAGTTGTTCTTTTTCTTGCCACCGAATCATTCTTCATATTCATCAACATCTTCTCCATCACCGTGCCAATTTCTGGTTGGTTGCTTGTCGCTTTGTTGGTCTTCTCCATTGTTTTGTTTTAGGTGTTACAAAGTTCCTTGCAAAGCCTATTTGAACGTAATACTCCGCGCTCATGCGGTCGATAATTAAAAATATAAGAAAATCTTAAATGAATTACTCTGTTTGTAAAAGGTTTGCAATATTCAAGCGCACTTATCAAAAACACTCGCTGGCAGCTTCAGGAGACTTCACACTTTCTTTAATAAACCGTCGAATTGACGATAAATAAGATGAAAAATTTTCGGTGGCTGTTCGGACCGTAGAAACTATTAACTTTTAATGGAAGACAAACCTTTTAGAGAGGTTTCACTAAGCAGACAACTACTTTGTTTACCAACACGCGAACTAACTTTTTGTGAATACAGACAAACCGTTTTAAAAACTTTTAAGGAAACCCCACTTCCACTATAAAATAAACTCTTTCAGGATTTTTTAAATCAACCGTCAATCGCAGTTAGACTCCTTATCGCAAACGACCAGATGTGCCTACATTTTAACACGCAATTTCACGGTTTACAATGAAATGCACAAAAAACAAAACAAAAAAATATTACACAATTACAAACCACAAAAGGAAAAATAGACATTGAGATAAACTGTTAATAAATTGAAATATTCTCATATACAGGGTCATTATTTTTTAATGGCAATAGCGATACCGAATTTCTATGATTCTGCAAGGTACAAAGAAACTGTGCTACAATACGAGGCGGCTGATGGTTTGAACTTTAGACGGTTTACACTAACAAATTAGAATTTAAAGTAACTAATTTTGTTTTTCTCGTTGCAGAAGACGCACCACCCACAATCCTGATCAAAATTCCCTCTGGTTCGGCATCGATAGAACCGACCGGTTTGTTAGCCGTATTTCCGGGTTCGACGCTTCATCTGGAGTGCCTCTTTTCCCGTCGTCTCGGCTCACCCGATTGGACATGGACATCGCCCTTAGGGCAATATTTAACAGGTAACTTTGTTTGCATGAAAATTATACAACGGTATCCGAACAATGTTGCCAAACATAATTAAGTTTAATTGTAATTACACACGCAGCTTTTATCCAAAATGTAATTTACAGTCAAAAGGGCGGACGAGTGGATAGAATTTTATTGTTACGTATAACGTATATTGTCCGTTGCATACAGAGAGACGGAAACGTGCTTTGAATTCATTCGCGCGGCGAACGAGAAATATGCCTTCTTTTTATTTTGGTATCATTGGCTTATCTGAGTGGGTGCTGATAAAACTACCCCCCTTGAATCTGCATTACTCCGTGCAAATTAGAATTCATGAAGTTAACGTCAATAAATTTTATTCTCGCCATTTACCTATAGGTACGTGACGTACAATTTTGAAATTTATCTGTCTGGAGGACGAAGCTCGGGTTGCAATGTCAATTAATGGAAACCTAGTAGAATTAACCTGGACAAATATGGAAACAAGATGTCACTTTGGTAGTTAAGCCAAACTTTGTCGCAACGAGTCCCAAGCCGCCAAGTTTAGATGTTTCGGTCGTGAAGTTGCTTTCATGTTAAAGTTTGTACCCAAATCCTTTCTAAGCTGAAGCCAATAATTATAAACAGTTTTAGCAAGAAGTGATTGCATAAACAGAATTACGTGAGTTCCTTCAGGAAAGCGGATCCTTAATTACTGTCGACGGTTATCTCAATTAAGTACGATTATTTATTAGCATTTTTCAATTAATCAATCGAAACGGGCATTTTCCTATTCATCGAAATTGAAATGAAATATGAAAATTCCAAAATATTTATATGTGGTAGGTCAGTTGTCACTCATTTCTTCCTGATCCTTTCTTGTGTTACTCTTAACTTTTAATCCGTTTGATTTTTTTATTTTTAAATCTTCCTGGGGAAATTTTGAGGAATTACGAATTTCTCCATTTTTTTTGTATATCAACCATATGCATATTTTATGATGCACAGAAAACGTATTGCTGCTCTTTTATGGTAATAAAAACATGGGCATTGCATTTGAAAAACAAAAGTTGTATCGATTTCCGGCTAAACCGGAAGCGATGCCGGAAGTTTGAATATTCGATCAGATATATCGTAATGTCATATTATATAAAATCATATTTGATAAATTTCCCGTATCTCACCTAATAAAAGAGATATTGAGGTAACCCCGCCGATATTAGAATTAGTCTGCACTGCATATGCGCATTCGTCAAACAACAATCTAAGTAACAAGATGTCGTCAACCATCAGCAATAATGAACGTGTGAACGTTATTTGTACCACGCTTTCGTTGTTATAATCGTCGAAGTTGTCCTTTAACCAGCCAGTAATCTACGCTGTCGTTACCACAAAAGAGGGCCATCAACGCCAACCGCCATCGTCCTCTTGAAAGATACAGCCAAGACACCTTTTATTGAAAATACGCATGTTGTTATCGCCTTTTATTGCCAGACATACTGTTCTGTTCGCTCTACAGCGGTATATGATATATCTTCCTATGTTTACCAAAAGATAAATTCGAGAAATTATTTTTTTTAAGTCTAAAGGGACCACCTGTTACACTTAGAATGCGATTTTATGTTGCCTGGTAAGTATGAGGTCGGATGCGGTGAGTTACACGCTTCTTTTTGAAAACTGAGCCCTGACCTTTCGGTCTAGTACGAACGCACGGACAAGTGGCAATACTCAGGACCGATTGGCCACGGAAACGCGAACTGATATTAGGGGTTGAAATGGCCTTCGGTTTGCAGAACCAAAACTTAAGACTTAATTCTGTCCGCACTGACGGCCGCAGTAGTCTTTTTACAACTACCTTAAACCAGTACAAATTTCTCTGACTTACTCCAATTTATGTTTATGAAATTATTTATAATTTATGTAAGCCGTTCGCTGGTTTGAAGATACTTAATTTCAATTATAAATTGACGTTAGCCAGACGCATGATTCAGCGCCGCTTAATTTTAATTAATAATAATTAACGTTGGTCGCATAATTGCACTAACCTAAATTACACCCCAGTACCCTTGATCGGAGATGCATTTATATCGAGGCAATTACACCACACACAAACTTCGTAGATTACAAAGACTACGTGCAAATATGTATGTATTTAATTTAATTAATGAATGTTAAATGAAGAGAAATTACGTTGCAGTTCGAACTTCCATAACACTGCCAAATAATATTGCACATTTTTACTAACGTTGCTCTACGATCGAATTTTTATCACCAACTGCTCCATCCTCCTCCTTTACAACCAAAATATCAATTTGTGTAGAACCACAAGCTATTAGGCACGCTCGAATTTCTCTTTATTGTTTTTTTAGTCGCATGACCTATAAACATTGTGAGAATTTTTGGGCATGCTAGAAACGGTATAACATCAATAGAATTTTTTTTAGAAAAACTGGTTTATTGCTCAATTCTTTTCGATTATTTAGCTGACCCACGTCAGTACGTACCTACTGCCGATAAATAATACATTGTGAATTCCTTGAAATTAACGTTGCTTGGCCTCCGACAGAGCGATTTGCAGCTTTTGAGATGCTACATGAATATATATTTTTGAATTACCCTGTTTCATTTGTATTTTAAATTTAAACGAAAGTTTCAGTTTCGCGGGGTAAACTAGAACGTGACTTATATTTTTATGTAACGTCTAATTAAATATATTTAGTGTACAAAGTGCTAAATTTGTTCCACAAGTGTTTTTCCATATAAATCAACAATAGCTAAAGGTTTAGAAACAATTTTCAACACCAATCGGCCAGTTTATAAGAAGTTTCCACTTCATGTACGAGGACGCAGCCATTTGCATGAATAATTTTCGTTATGCGCTATTAACACGACTTATTTATGAAGCATTGGCCATTCAAATGGAAGATTGCTATGAAAAGGATGTAAGATTGGAGAGAGGCCTTCGTTATATTAATCCTGCTGTTGTCGTCGTTATAACTTTCCGTAAATTGTGGAAACTTGAGCCGTTTATTTGTGTTCATTGGGACGTCATAGGCACGCCAGCTGTTTCAAGATCATGTTATTTTGTCTACATTTTATACATTCTTGAATTACGTTTGCGTTTTTCTGAAAATTGGGCGTAAGATTTTTGGGGGTACATTATAATTGAATTTATGATTAAAATATTCATTCAAATTGCGTACGTTTTGGTTTACGATACATTATGCAGTTACGAAACTTACATGGAATTGTTTATATTGTTTAAATTGTAACCTATAACGTTTGCATCATAAAATAAAGCAGACGATGTATTGTCTGCATTTGACAGTATTTATTGATTTAAAGGTATAATTCAGGTAACGTATCGATTTTGATCTTGATGAAATATTTAGTTTGGCGCTTTATCTGAGCGCAACGTTCCCAAATTTTCTTGTCATTAATCTATCCAAATTAAGTTTTGGATCGCATTCCCTGTTCTTGTGGTTAAGTGTTCATTGGCGAAATTGGTAGATCAGTTAGCACTCGAATTCCCGTCAATTCTCATAGCTCTAACTCCGCGGTTGCTGAACATCCTCGTCAAAACGGCCGAAATATTCTGTATAAACGTGACGGGGGATGTTCACTTTCTCCCCTTTGGAAATCTCCATCTGATTGGATGATGTTGTCACTTTCACTAATTTTTCCTGACGGAATAGGTTTTATAACGCGCAAGCTTAGAATGTAGGGCACTATAAAATACCACGTGCAATTTGAAATCAACACACGACGCTGATCGGCCAGCTAGCTCCGTTAGCCAAATAGTTAACAGCGTAGAGAGATATGCTCTTACTCAGGGTAGTAGGTAAGTGAATTAAAAACTTTGACAACAAATTATTATAAAAGATTCCAAGTAAATCTCCGCCACTAATACTTACTGGTGCTTCGATTCAAGTCTTTCAAGCGCCACCTAATTGGGCTTACAATTTTATTTGCAGCCACCGGAATTAGGAAAGGTAGCTTCAGTATAAAAAGAGTCAACAATTGACCCACAAGAAAAAATTAGTGTTTATTAACCAAAGAGTATGCAAAATATAAAAAAAAAGGAAATCTTCCCATGAACTATTAACACAGAAATTAACCCACCAAAAACCCCTGAAGTTATGTGACACCTCGTACCGCTAAGCAACGACAAGTATAATTAATAGAATTAAAATTGAAATGAGTTACTATAATCGGTAGCTTGAGGTGTTGAAGTTAATCGTAGTAACGAGCTCTTGACCTTACAAGTAATTACTTCTCTAGAATAATTCGTATTTGATAGTTAAACAGTCCTAAAGATCAAGCATACTAATTACAGGTAAAAATTTCCACTTACATATGTGGGCCAAATAAACTGTTCATAGGTAGATATTTAGGTCAACAAAGGAAAGAAAAAAGTTGAAGGTACGTCACCGCTAACGATAAATTGTGTCGGCAATTTCACAGGTTCCTGGTGTAACCAAAAATAACTCCTACGGAGGTAACAAAGCTTGTGATCCAGGTATATTTCTCTCACGATCTACGTTCGGCTGCCCTTAAGATCTTAATGATTCTACGGGATGTTTTACAACACACTCATCTGCAGTAAGTCGATTATTTCCCCGAATTCAGCTGAATATGAACCCCCTTGCACAGACTCTTATTCAGAGAGTACACAGAAGAAAAGAACGGGATACGTCCCAAATGATTCCAAAATGTACTGTATGGTCGGTATTTGTTCCCCTACAATAGAAAAAAGAACATCGGTAACCTCAATTCGAGCACAAGAAAACACTTACGATTTGGAATGCTTGAGTTTTCCGTATTAAAAGTCCATTTCGGAAAAAATTGTAACCGAACGTCCAAAAACAAATTGTCGGCACAACGGGTAATCGATTGATTAAAGATGCTTCCGCGAAATATTAAATCAATTCGACCATTGGAAAATATATCAAACCCCCAAATTCGGGAATTTAGTACGACCGATTCTATTGCAGGTTGCTGGAAGACGCCACAAGTTTCGAAATATTACCCAAGCCAAAGCTATGGGTAGTTATCTCTGACAAATGGGAGGGCAGTATTTGATACATGACCATA